ACCCTCTGGAACGCCTGTGAGCAAAGCAGAGTGACAATATTGTGAGAAGGGCACTTGCCTAGCACACAGGCAAGCTGGGTTCAATCCCCAGCATTCCATATGGTCCCCCGAGCATCACCAGGAATATTTCCTGAGCACAGAGCCAGGAGTAACCTCTGAGCATCTCTGGGTGTGGCCCAGACACCAAAAACACAAAAAAAGAATTAGGGGCTAGGGAGATGGTACCAAAAACCAAGCATATGTTCTGCATGTAGAGCCCCGGGTGTGATCCCCAGCACTGTGTGGTCCCAGAAACACCAGGACTGACCCCTGAGCACTGTGCCTGGAGTAGCCTCATCAAGCTCTGCCAGTGTGGTTGCTAAATAAGTAATAAGTGAATGGAAAAAGGACAGCATGGAACCACTAAGAAACATCCCTGGGGACAGTGGGGGAGGGGACTAGCAGGTGAGCACAGTAGGGAAGGTTCTTCCCTTGCACATGGTCAACTCAAGTTCAATCCCTGGAATCTCACAAAGTCCCCGGAGCACTGCCAGGAGTGACTCCTGAGAGCAGAGCCAGGAGTAACCACTGAGCACTACCGGGTATGGCCCAAAAACAAAAAAAGAAAAAAAGAAATTAGAAAAAAGAAATTAGAACATCCTTGGGCTGGAGCGATAGCACAGCGGGTAGGGCGTTCGCCTTACACGCGGCCAACATGGCCGACCCGAGTTCGATTCCTCCGCCCCTCTCGGAGAGCCCGGCAAGCTACCGAGAGTATTCGATATGCCAGACACAGTAACAGCAAAGTCTCCAATGGAGACGTTACTGGGCCCCGCTCGAGCAAATCGACGAACAACGGGAGGGCCTTTACCTTTTTTTTAGAACATCCTTAGTGAATGGGGACGTGGCACAGAGTTAGGGTTCATAAGAAGAAAGAAAGGGAGGTGGGAGGGTGGGAAGGGAGAGAGGGAGAGAAAGAAAGAGAAAGGCAGGAAAGCAGGAAGGCAGGCAAGAAGGCAGGCGGAAGGAAGGAAGGAAGGAAGGAAGGGAGGGAGGGAGGGAGGGAGGAAGGAAGGAAGGAAGGAAGGAAGGAAGGAAGGAAGGAAGGAAGGAGAAGGAAGGAAGGAAGGAAGGAAGGAAGGAAGGAAGGAAGGAAGGAAGGAAGGAAGGAGAAGGAAGGAAGGAAGGAAGGAAGGAAGGAAGGAAGGAAGGAAGGGAGGGAGGGGAAGGAAGGAAGGAAGGAAGGAAGGAAGGAAGGAAGGAGGGAAGGAGGGAAGGAGGGAAGGAAGGAAGGAGGGAAGGAAGGAAGGAAGGAAGGAAGGAAGGAAGGAAGGAAGGAAGTTGCCAGAGAAATGGTACAGTGGGTAGGGTCTTTGCCTTCCACGCGGCTGTAGGGCATTTGCCTTGCATGCAACTGACCTGTGTCTGATCCCTGGCACCCCATATGGTCCCCCAAGAGCCTCTTCGGGAATAACTAGTGAGTGCAGGGCCAGGAGTAAGTCCTGAGCACCAATCAGTGTGGCCCCCAAACCAAATACCCCTGCAAAAAAAAAAAAGATGGTGATAATCTATTGCACACAGAAGGACTGTGGAAACTGAGGTGGGGTGGGGAGAACCTAGAGAGAGGGTCCTGGAGGCCTGGGCCAGTGAGACCTTCGGGACTTGCCCGAGAAGGCAGCTAGACACCAGAGTGAAGGTGCCCATCATCTCTCTGCAATGCCCACCCAGCCCAGCTGTACTGCAGCCTGAAGCAGGGATGTGGAACGGCCATGCCACCTCCCACCCAGGCTCCAGGAGACCCACGTGGGTCCAAGGAATTAGGGCGATGAGTGCAGGAGGCAGGAGGATGTGGCGAAGAGGCAGGGTTCCGAGCTCTGTGACTTTGCACCCAGAAAAGGGAAAAATAAATTAAAAGGAGTAGAACACCCAAAGATGAGGCACAGAGACAAAATAAAAAAGAATCAAGTTTAATTAAATACCTACAGATGAGACAGTGCCAAGTACTAAAGCTGGGTCCTGCGCAGAGTGGCCCAGAGGATGTGTGTGGCGGGTGCCAGGCTTGGTCCCCGCTGCCTTCTGGGGTCACACACACCCTCCCCCAGACTCGCTGTGCCCTGGGAGAGGGGCGCCCAGATGGAGCTGAGGTCACTTTGTCTACCGTATGGGGGAAGGTGCGGGCCCAAGAGCACCCAGGTCAGCCTCAGACACTGAGCTCCTCACACACGTCCTTGTAAACAGAGACACCCCTTGCCCCCCCCCCCTCACCGCACATGAAACAGCGCCTCCTCTTCTGGGGCGTTGGCAGAACTCACCCCATCCGCCAAGTCCCCAGACCCAGCCTTCCACCCTCTCCCACCTCCAGGGTGGAGGTCCCCACCTCCTCTTCCTTTGGACGTCCCCCCCACCCCCCGCCACCACTTTTCTGTGTGTGCCCATGAGGAATGAAGCCATCAGGCTGGGTTCAAGTCCAGCCCCGCCCAGGCCAAGAAGCTCCAGGGGCCCCTGGGGTCAAGTCTCTCCTCTCTGTGAAGTGGGATGGGGGTCCCCATCAGGGATGGCGAGAGGACCAAGTGGACACAGCTGTGTGAGACTGACGCTGCTTCAGAAACAGACTGGACCACACTCGGGCCTGACCCACAAAAGCAAAACTCCAGGGGCAAAGGTTTGCCAGCAACGGTGTTGCTGGGAGCTGGGCTTCCCTGTCAGCCCTGCGCTGCGTCTGGGGGAGGTGAGTTTTCCTCTGGCCGTGGTTGAAGGAGGCCTCACCGTCTCCTGCCACCCCAGCCCGAGAGGGACCAGAGCTCAAGTGTGGGGGAAGCAGGTGGGGGTGGCTGGAGGCCGAGTGGCCTTGGCTGCTGCAGGCCTGAGTCAGCGGGCAGGCGACGGGCGGGCCCAGCCATTGCGTGCTTGGGGAGATGGTGCAGGAATGTTCGTCCCGCCCATGCCCGGGCCGGCCCTGCCCACCACATCCTGGCTCCTGCCTGCGTGGACGGACGGCAGCCTTAAGCTCAGAGAGGTGGGAGATGTTGAGCACAGAGGGTAGCCCTCGCCTTGCACACGGCCGACCTGGGTTCAATCCCTGGCACCCGATATGGTCCCCCAAGCACCGCCAGGAGTGGTTCCTGAGTGCAGAGGCAGAATAACCCCTGGGCATTGCTGGGTGTGGCCCAAACACCCCCGAGAAGAAAGAGGATGGGAGATGCAGGGAGCTCTGTCAGCTGGGTCCAGCCAGGGCCTTCGGGGGCAGCACTATCCCAGGGACAGGCCCAGCTCCAGGGCACAGGCCACAGGCTGCCAGCCCTAGCCAGGCCCACTGCCCGCGTTCACAGGGAGGAGCTAGACTTGACACTGACCTTCTCGGGCTGGCTCAGCTCAGGAGGGGGTTTGGGCCCGTCCAGGCACAGCCACAGGGGGGCTGCCGATGTCCATGCACATGTGGCCAGGGTCTGAGTGCTTGTGTCACCCGGGAGGGTGCGGTCATGTGGGCGCCTGGGTGGCTGTGACACAGGATGAGGGGCGGGCCGGGGTGGGGGAGCGGGGACCAGGATCACCGCCTACCCTAGACTGGCTCACATGGACGGAAGGCAGGAGCTTGGGTGCAGCCAACAACACGGCATCCCCCAACAAAGCTGACTCCTTCTGAGACCAGAGACCAGGGGTCCCCCGACCCAGGTCCTCTCAGCAGAGAGAGAAGACTAGTCTACCATCCCTCCTTCCCCACCCCCACCCCCAGCAGAGGGAGGGAGGGAACTGGAGGCAGCTGGGCCCAACTGCCCGCCCCGTGACTGAGGCCAGCCTGGAGGTCACCCCTGCACCCCAGTCCCCGACAGAAAGGGGCTCTGGGCAGTCGGCTCTCAAATCCCGCCAACCATCTCCCCTGAGATAGAAGCTGCTTCTCCCCCCCCCGCTCCAATCTCCGCTGAGACGCGCCCTCCCACCCCGCACCCGCACCCGGGGCTGGGAGCTAAGGGGCAGCCCATCCCCTCAACCAGGCGGGCCTGGGGAGGGAGCCCCCACCCCCAGAGCCCCTCAGAGGTCAGAGCTGAGCAGATGCTCAGGGCAGACTGGCCCGGAACGGGATGGAAAAGGCAGGCAGGAGGGGGAGGGAGGGGAAATTCCACAGAAAGTCCCAAAGCTGACCTCATCCTGACCCAGGACCAGGGCCCATTCCAGAAGTTCCTCTGAGTACGGAAGCTCTGCCTGAGTGGGGCGCCGTGGGGAGTCACGCGGCCCGCACCCCACCTCACCCACCCTGAGCCGCAGCACCCCCGGCACAGCAGGGGGCACAGGGCGGCCCCTCAGTTCCCCGCGGGGAGGCCACCGCAGCCAGCCAGGCAGCCATGTCTTGGGGCGGACAGAGCCTCAACACCCCCTTTCCGAGACCCGGGGCGAGGAACTCCCAGTGGGCACAGCCCCCGTCCCACCCTCCCACCCCTCAGCCCCCAGCCCTGTCCTCCGAGAGCAGGGTGAGCCTGAACGGGGTGACCAGCCAGGTCCCCCTCTGCACAACCCCAAGGCCCCCAGGCCAACTGTGCGCCCCCAGAATCTCAGACCCTGAGGCCCCCAGCTTCAGGAAAGCCCCCCGCCCTCCTCCAAGACCCGGAGGCTCAGCCACGCGGCGCCGACTTCACTGTAAAACGTTTATGGGGAAGAGAAACTCAAGCAGCAGCGGCCAGGAACAGCCATGACCTCCCAGGGGCCCGTCCCCCCTACCCCAGCCTGCCGCTGGACCAGGCCCTGGACTGGAGTGGGTCCCATCTGTGCATATCGGGGACCCCTTGTTCACCACGAGCCTTGTGCATGGCCTTTGTCTGAATCTGTGTGTGACCCCACCTGGGCTGGCCTCAGTGTCTGCCTAGGGGGACAGGAGGTGGCCTGGCGTGTGAGCGTGTGCTCGGGGGATGCTATGGCCCCCGGCCCTGCAGCCCTGTGGCTGACCCACAGCCCTGGTCCGGCCAGGAGCTCCTGGCTCCACCCTCCCCCGTACCGGGCCCCACCTGGCGGGGTGGGGGGCTTCCCCAGGGGCAGTGGGCCCCCTGCAGAGCCCTGCTCAGCCGGGGTCTGTGCGGCGTGGTCAGAGGTTGTCGTACATGCGCAGCGTCTTCTCCAGCTGCTGCCCCACACGCTGGAAGAAGAAGATCTGCTGGCGCAGGTAGTTCTGCATCATGTGCTTGAAGTCGAGCTCGCGGCGCTGGTGGAAGTGGTTCATCTCGGCCTGCAGGGCAAAGCCCACGACCCGGCAGCGCCTGCGGATGCCGTCGGCCTCGTCCTGCGCCATGCGGCCCTCGTCACTCATGCGCTGGCTCTCCTTCACCTTGGCAAAGGCGCCTGGCAGCGGCAGAGGGCGGAGGGACAAGGCGTTAGGGCTCAGCCTCCCTCCCCGGGGCCGGCCACACCCCCGGCAGCTCCTCCCAGGCCTCCCTCCTCTGGGGACTCCAGACCGGGACGCAGCCTCCCGGGTGCCCGCACCAAACTCTCACCTTCGGGACATCCCAAACCGGATGCGCCACTTCCCTCTGGAGCTGGGGCTCGGCCAGCAGCCCCACCCAGACCAGTCTCAGGCCGGCAAACACTATCGACTTCCAGGACTGGCACACCCTGACATCCCTCAGCCCCGGTGCTAATTCAGCAGACAGCAGCTCCTCCCGGAAGCTGCCCCATGGCTCCGGGTGCTCCCGCTGCTCCGGGCCTCCCTGCACCCACGCTCTCTCCAGCTGGAGGTCTCTCTGGCGGCCTCCTCCAGGGCTGGCACTGCAGCTCCTGGGAGACGTCTGCTAAGCGGATCTGGCCAACGTCTCATCCCCGCCACCCCACCCCCACCCCATCCCACTCCACCTGGTCACAGCCTCTGAGAGTGTCCTAAGGAGCAACTGGGTACCCCACGCTCCCTGCCGCTAGCAAATAAAGGTCTGCACCCTTCCCACTCTGACCCCCCACACACCCAGCTCGCTCCTAGCCTCGGGGCAATGCCCCAGGCAGGGTGCACAGCCCCATCAGGTGCCACTACTACCCAGGAGACACCCCAGCGTCCCCAGAACACTCCTATCTCTCCCCTCCAGGGTCTCCCACAGGTCAAACAGCAGCACCTCAAAGGCCACCCAGTTTCCCTGTGTGAGCCTCCCCCCCCACACACACAGGCCCTGCCCCCCCCGCCCCCAGCATCTGTTCCTCCCAGCACTGCCAGGAGAGAGCCCCTGAGCACAGAGGCAGGAGTATCTCCTGAGCACTGCCAAGTGTGGTCCCCAAAACCGCAAAGCAAACAGTGTCGGGTCGGGGTTAAGGTTCAGCAGTACCCAGCATGCCTTGCACAGGGTTCAGCTTTGATCCCTGCCATCCCATATGATCGATCTCCTGGGAACTTCGAAGAATGATCCCTGAGCAGAGAGCTCGGGGTGAGCCCCAAGCACCGTGGCGTGGCCCAAAAACCAAAACTGAAAGCAAACGCATTGGGCTGGAGAGATAGTCCAGTTAAGGCTCTTGCCCTGCACACGGCAGATCCACATTCAATGGTCCCCTGAGCACCTCCGACGGCCAGGGGTAAGTGCTGAGGACACCTGGGTGTGGCCCAAATATCACTCCCCACTCCCCCAAAAAAGGGGTCACCTGGACAGGGGCACTGATGGGGGGGAAACGGAACGAATCCACAAGCAGGTGATTTCAGTTCTGAACTCCTGGACGGTGCTGCGGGAGGCTGATGGACTGTGGCCCGCACATGCCCCCAGGGGGAGAGGGAAGAGCTAGGGGAGGGCGGCCTGCCCCTGCACAGGAAGAAGTGTCTGTCCGTAAGTGTCTGTCCGTCTCCCTCACTGTACAGTCTCTCTCGCCCTGTGGGGGCCTCCGTGAGCCTTGGAGAGGGACCCTGTTTTCTTTCTTGTTGCTTTCTGGGCCAGACCCAGTGGTGCTGAGAGCCTCCTCCTGGTTCTGTGCTTAGGGATCACTCCTGGTACATTTGAGGGCCACGCGGGGTACTGGGGTCAAACCCCGGTTGGAGCCTTAACCACTGTACTACTCTCTGGCCCTGGAAATGAACTTCTGGGGATAAAATACACCATTTTTATAACATAGTTACACTGTTTTTATAATGACCACACTCAGAGGGGTGTGTGTGTGTGTGTGTGTGTGTGTGTGTGTGTGTGTGTGTGTAAGAGAGAGAGACAGAGAGAGAGAGAGAGTGTGTGTGTGTGTGTGTGTGTTGTGAGCTCAGGGGACCTGGGCCACTCCAGGCCACACTCTGTCCAGCTGTGGGTGACATGGGTCTGGTGACAGTGCTGCATGTTTCTGTGGGGCTGTTGTCGTTGCTGTCTGAGAGAAGCTCCCAAGTAGTGCTCAGTGGCCCAAGGGCCACTCTTGGCTTTTTTTTTTTTTTTGCAGGGGGTTGTGACACCTGGCAATGCACAGGGGTTACTCCTGGCTCATGCACTCAGGACTTACTCCTGGTGGTGCTCGGGGGACCATACAGGATGCTGAGAATCAAACTCGGGTCGGCCGCACGCAAGAAGGCAAACGCGTACCCATTGTGCTGTCGCTCCAGCCCCACTCCTGGCTCTTCTTGGACAGATGCTTCCATGCAGCTGGGCTTAGGTCCCGAGGTGCTGGGGACCGCCAGGGCCATGTCAGCAGTGCCCAGCAGCTGTCAGGGCTGCCCCTGCAGTGTGAGGGGCTCATGGGGAACCCAGGATCGACTCGGGTCGGCATTCACCGCAGCCCCCACAGGCCTTTAGAAGCAGCCAGATCCGCTGGCGAGGACACGCCTAGCTGACTAACGGTGACACTCACGAGAGGGTCAGATGCGCTCAAGTCTGGAGACTCCAGGGCCTCCCACACGGCACCCAGAAAGAAAAACGCCCATCCCTCCCCCGCTTCAGCCCCAGCTGCCCCGTCCTCCTGCCACTCCTGCCCCCAACAACATTGGCTGGACAGCAGGGCGGCCACTGCTCCCAGGCCCAGGACAGAGGCCCAGCTGGAGAGTCAGAGCAGAAGTCCTGCAGGCCGGCTGGCCCAGCTCCACCACTTGCCCTCCTGGACACCAGACAGAGGAGCCCGAGGCCTGAGGGACAGGGCCCTGCCAAGGGGCCCCCGGTCTCCTGCCTGTCCCAAACGGGGCATCTGTGACGCCCAGACAAGGGCACAGGGATCTGAGAAGTTCCCAAGGGGTAGGAAGGTCCGAGATGTGCCTGAACAATACTACAGCAGGTAGGGTGCTTGCCTTGCATGCGGCAGACCAGGGTTCAATTCCTGGCACCCCATCTAGCCTTAATACCAAAACAAACAGGGTTCACAGAGAGGCAGAAAGCTGGGGCAGGACAGTACAGTAAGTAGGGTGCTTGCCGTCTAAGTGGCTGACCTGGGTTTGATCCCCAGTGTGTAAACACAAAAGGACGGCAGCGGTCTATCTCTCCCACCGCCCGCGTTCAGTAGTCCCAGGCCATTTCCCCACTCCAGGGAGGTCGATGGCGATGGGCAGGCGAAGGAAGGAAAGGAGGGCTGGCAGGGACCCACCTGTCATTGCTCCTCCCTGTGACTCAGCCTGGACAAGCGACACCTGGGAGGCCACGCTCAGGCCTGTCCAGTGACCCCCTACAGTGCACGTAGGACTTGGCCGAAGAGCCTGGAGGCTGGGGGCAGGGACAGGGAGAGAACTGGAAGGACTCCAGGAATCCCCGAAGTTCCCCTAAGAGCCAGGCCATGCCATCTATTTTTTAATTTTTCTCTTCACTTTAGTTTTGGGGGCCACTCAGGATTACTCCTGGTGGGGCTCAGGGGAACACGCGGGATGACAAAAGATTCAGCCCAAACTGTGGTCAGCTGCACCGAAGCAAGCATTTTCCCTGCCATGTCCTATCTCTCTGGCCCTAATCCATCTGTCCTACCTCTTGGGGGTGGCTCCACCCTCCCGGGCTAGAACAGGAAGTCTGAGTCCAGCCCCACCTGCATTACCTCCAGCAGGCCCCAGCTCTGATCAGGGACCCAGGGGACGCTGCTGTCAGATGGACAGGCCGGATAAGAGGCTGCTGGCAGCTCTAAGTGCTAAGTGCCCAGGATGTCAGCATCCCCACGTCTGAGAAAAGGGGCAATAACACAGCCCAAGTGGAGGGTCCCAGCAGGGGCTGAGCTGGACTTTCTGTCCACAGCAACTGACACAGTCTTTGAATACAAGAGGCTGAGTGCAGAGACACAGAGGCAGCTAGGCGGGCCAAGTGCACGCTTTTGCATCAGGGGATTCCCGATCCGATGCCCAGGATCCATGTGCTCCCCCCAAGCACCACTAAGACTGAGCACTGAGCCAGAAGTAGCCTCGAGTACCACAGGTTTGGTCCAAAGAGACTCTGTGAGTATAACACACAGTCTTTTGGTCACAATAAGCAGTGGCTGGTGGTAGCTCCAAAAGATTCTTTTTTTTCTCTTTTTGGGTCACACCCAGCGATGGGAGATGCTGCACAGGGGTTACTCCTGGCTCTGCACTCAGGAATTACTCCTGGCGGTGCTCAGGGTACCATAGGAGATGCTGGGAATCAAACCCGGGTCGGCCGCGTGCAAGGCAAACGCCCTACCTGCTGTGCTATCGATCCAGCCCAAAGGTTCTCTTTTATATCTGCTTGTTTGGGGTCACATCCTACAGTGCTGAGGACATACTCCTAGCTCTGTGCTCAGTGATCACTCCTGGTGGTGTTCGGGGGTCCGTAGAGACAGTCGGGGATCAAACCCGGGTCAGCATCGTGCACGGCAAGCGCCCTGCCCACTGCACCACTGCTCAAGCCCCAGATTCCCTGTTTATGGGAGACAAGGAGGGGACGTGGGAGGAGGGTTAGAGAGGGGGCTCTGTATCCCAGGGCAGCTCCTAGGGTCTGCAGCGGCCACCTGTGCTGCCATGGCTTCTTCATGCCTGCTGTGGTCCCAGGCCCGCCTCCTCCTGCAGGGTGCCAGCTGCGTGAGCACCCGAGCCTCCTCCCCCTCCGTCCCAGTGCATCTCCCGGCACCCGTCCCTGGGGAGTGTTGTCTCCATCTGTCCGGCACAATGGACACAGTCTGGACTGCACAGCCAGAAGCGCCTGCTGTGCTTCTCCACCCCTCCCTGAGCCTCATCTGTGAACAAGGGGCCCACGCCCGTCTCCGGGACTTGGGACGAGCCTTAGCACAGGGCCCCGCCCTGAAGTCCCACCGGGGCTACGACAAAGGCCCCCTTTCACCCCCACAACTGCCCTGTCTGGGGCAGGGGAGATGGCACAAAAGACTGGGGGCGCCTGCAAAGCATGCCGAGCCCTTAATTCCATCTGGGCACCATGTGATTCCACAAGGACCCCCCCCAGTTAGCACTGCCTGGGCGGCCCCAATAAGCAAACCAGTAAATAAACAAAACTGCCCTGTTTGCGCCGTTAATTATCTGGCTGAGACCCAGGGGCTGGACCAGTGGGCACACAGGCTGGGATCCTCTGGGTGCACCCCACACCCCGTCAGACTGACGTGGAGAGGAGCTGTCTCGCAGTGACCTCAGAGAGGACAAGCATGTGTCCTGACCCCACCTAGGCCTCCCCTCTCCTTCCTGCTGAGGCCTCTACCACACTTGCCGTCTTCCAGTCTCCGGACAAGGGCCCAATGGGCTCCTTCTTCTTTTTCTTTTCTTTCTTTCTTTTTTTTTTTGGCTTTTTGGGTCACACCCAGCGATGCTCAGGGCTTACTCCTGGCTCTGCACTCAGGAATTAACCCTGGTGGTACTTGGGGTGACCCTATGGGGTGCCAAGGATCAAACCCAGGTCGGCCGTATGCAAGCCAAATGCCCTCTGCCGTCCTATCCCTCCCGCCCCAAGCTCCTTCTTCTGCTCACCGGACCCTCATGGGACCCCCACCCCAAAACCTGCCCAATGGTGTCTCATCCAGATTCCAGATCCTTCTCTCACAAGAGGGTCCCAGGCCTAGGAGCGGCAGTGCACAGCCCTGAGCTGGACTGGGCCCAGGGGGGAGGGATCCTTCAGCATGGGAAGGGGCATGGCCTTGGCCTGAGATCCGTACACCCCTGCAGAGAGTGGGGCGCCCCACTCCTCTGTACCCTCTGGTGGAAACCCAGTGGGGGTCCCCGTCAGGCCCACCCCTGGGGAGCGTCTCTGACTGGGCCTGGCCGTGGGATCTCCTTCCCTCCTGGCCCTACACAGGGTGAGGGTCCCTGGGCACAGCACGGGGCGCTGTCTCAACACTGCGCCCGCTGCTCCTCCTCCTCCTCAACCCACACAGCAGCACGCGCCATCGGGGAGCTGGTCGAACCAGCTTTCCCAGGCCTGGGTGCAGAAGCGCAAGGCCCCATTTCCGCCCAGGGAGACACCTGCCCCAGTGGGCCTGCCTGCCTGGGCCGCTCCCTCCCCACTGCCCGAGCCAAACCAAAGGCGTTGCCACCCTCCTCCCATGGGACCCTCCGGGCGGGCGGGACTCCCTCCTCCTCTTGAGCCCTGAGAGCTGCCTGGATTTGACAGCGCCAGAAGCTCGGGCTCAGAGAGGGGAAGGCACTGCCCAGGGGCGCACAGTCAGCGAGGGGCAGCACCCGAGTGGAACTCAGCATCTCCTAAAGCTGCAAGAAATGGGAAAGAGGAGCGAAACCGTGGCGATGAGAGGGGAAAGGCAGAGAAAGTGAGGGGGCAGAGAGGCTGGGCGCCACAGTCTAGCACCTCCTGCTAAGCGGGCCGACTCCATGCGGGGTGCTACTTTAGGGATGGCGCCTGCCGTCCCCCAGGCCCCGCCAGAGGCCCGCTTCCGGGCCCCGCCCAGAGGAAAGGTCCCCACGCCAGGCCTGACCTCAGGGCCCGGGGGCCAGCGAGTCAGCCCCACACCCTGCCACATCCTGAGTTACCAAGCAGCCCCGGGGAGCACCACACCTCTCCCGACATCTGCTCTCCCTTCTGTCCCCAGCACTCAGCCACCTGCGGGGCCAGGCCCTGACTCACCACCCCGACGAGAGAGCCAGGCCCAGGAACGGGGAGCTGGGTGGGCTTTGTGGGCCATGCCACGGACCCCTGGTTCCTCCCAGCCCAGCCGGTGCCCCAGCATGACCCGGTGAGTCACTTCTCTGGCAGTTCCTTGACAGTTAACACGTAGGGGCCCATCCTGTTTCCCCCCCTGCCCGCCCCCCCCAAACCCCACCCGAGGAGGCGTGTGAGAAGTGAAAACACGGCTGGGGCTGGCAGGAGGCCGACAGGGCCATGTCCTCAGGGAGGCGCAGAAGGAAAGGACAGCCCGCCAGGACTCCAGGTTCTCTGTGCAAACCGCCCGGCTGTGGACATCAGCGCCTTCATCTGCAGAGCGCGGGCAGCCCACCCTCCCGCACGCAGATAAGCGGTTACAGATTAGGACGACGGGCTGTGGGAACAGGTCTGGGAGCTGCAAAGGGCCCGGGTGTGCCACAGAGCGAGATAGTGGGTACATGCAGTGCTCTCGGTATCTGGCTCTGGACCCCCCGCCCCCCCAGAAACCTGTGGGATCCTCACAGGCAGGGTCCAGCCCTGGTTGTCTGCAGGTTCCCAGAGCCCAGGTTCCCAGAGACCTCGTAGGGCAGAGCAAGCGCACTGTGGATAAACGAGTCTCTGAGACAGACATGGGGGCAGGAGCGATAGGATGGAGGGGAGGGTGCTTGCCTGGCACGCGGCCAACCCAGATTCAATCCCCCACATCTCACATGGTCCTCTGAGCACGGCCAGGAGTGATGCCTGAGCACAGAGCCAGGAGTAAGCCCTGAGCACTACTGGGTGCAGGTTAAAACCTAAACAAAAAATTTAAAAAGAAACAGAAAAGAAAAAGAATGAATGAATGAATGAATGAGCGAGTGAATCAACGAGCAGCAGTGTGAGAACAGGGGTCAGGCCCATCCCCACAACATCCTGGCACCTGGAACAGCCACTGGTCACACTGCAGGGCCCCCGGGACCTTTTCTGAATGAAGGCACGCGGCAGAGAGAGGGAGACTGGGCTGTGCTGGGCTGTCCTGGGCAGCCCCGGGCCCCAGAGCCCCGGTTACCTTTCTGCAGGTGGATGATGTCGGGGAAGTTGGAGAGCAGGCCCTGGTAGAGGGACAGCGTGTCGAGCATCTGGAAGAGGTCGTTCTTGGGCTGCTCGGCGAACATCTCCCCGACGGCCTCGTAGGTGCGGCCCGTGTGAGAGATGGCACTGTTGAGGGCCTCGGAGCTGAACGGGGGGTCCATCTGGAAGGCGTGGCTGATGGCCTGGAAGGCGCTGCCCAGCTTCTGGAACTCCTTGCGGAAGCCCCCCACGTGCTTACGCACCAGCTCCGACGCGATGGTGCTGAGCTGCAGGACGCTGTCGTCCATCTTCTTGCTGAAGGCCTTAAAGGTGTCCACCCGGTCCTCCACGTCCTGCAAGTCCTGGTGCTCCGTGGGGATCTGGAAGGTGAGCAGGAAGCTGGCGCCCACCATCTCGTCCTTCTCCGCCCGGCGCTTGCCCATCTTCCACTGCTTGTCGTCCAGGCAGCTGAGGAAGTGCTGGAAGCCCTCGTACTGCGACAGCACGGGGTGGCTGGTCATGTGGTCCATCCAGAGGATGAGCCGCCGCTTCCGCTTCTCGATGAAGTCCTCCTCGAAGCGGCCCGTGGCCTGCTTCTCGGGCAGGTGCGGCACGGAGATCACAGTGAACTTGTGCAGCAGGCGGTTGTAGAGCCAGTCGAAGTGCTTGTATCGCCGGTAGACGGGGGAGCCGGCGTGGGTGGGCGTGAGCTTGTAGGAGATGTAGCTTTTGATGCCCTTGAATTTGGTCTGCTTGGTGGGGTCCTCGACAGAGCAGGAAAAGGGGTGGGGGTTGGCCTTCCACTGGGGGCCCCGAGGGCCCATCTCAATGGAGTAGGTCTCGGCGATCTTGGCCATCATGGGCACGTCACCCAGGATGAAGGCCTCCACGCCCGAGCGCACGAAGCACGAGAAACGGTTGAGGTTGCGACCCACCACGCTGCCCCGCTTGGCGGACGCCAGGCTGTCCTGCCGCTCCAGGGGCGGCTTGGGCCGGAAGGCCATGTGCTGGCTGGGGTAGGCGCCGGGATAGGAGAGGTTGAGAGGGGGGTGCCCGTTGGCGCCCAGCCCGCCGGCCCGGGGCTCCTCCACCACCGTGCACCCATCGTCCCAGTCATCCCAGTCATCGTCATCCTCCTCCTCAAAGCTGCCCTGGTTGGAGAGGAAGCCACTGCCCACGCCACCCCTGGAGGGGCTGTCGTACCAGCTCACCTGGGCACCCAGAGACACAGCGGAGGTGGCGCTGCTGAAGTAGTCGGCGTGGTTGGCGCCGGGGCCCCCTCGGATGATCTCCACGTAGGAGGCGGGGAAGAGCCCCGTCTCGCCCCGGCTGTTCTGGCCCTGCAGCCAGCCGTCCAGCGAGGTCTCACTGAAGATGACCAGGTCCTCATTCTGCTGGATGCTGATCTCCTCTTGGTTCTCGCTGCGGAAGTCATACAGGGCTCGGCCCCTCAGTGCCATGGCTGGCTGGGTGGCAGAGAGACAGGCGGGGAAGGGGTCCTTCCCCCAACCCCCTCGAGTGTCCGTGAATGCAGCAGCAACGCAAACACAGTCACACAGCGGCTCAGCTCTGGGTCCTAAGGTTCTGGCAACCGCAGATGCTGTCCAGTCTCTGCGTCTTCAAGGCAACGTCTGGGGCCCAGAAACTGCCCGGTCAGGTCTGGCCTGGGAGCGGTGCCGGTGCATGTCCATAGTCCCTTGGCAGCCCCGGGGGGCTCCCGGCCTCCCTTCCTCTCGCTTCCAGAAAAATAAAAGTTAAGTGACTGGGAGGAACTGGCCCGAGGGGACAGAAGGTCCACTCTTTGCCCGGGAAGAAGGACGCTCAGAACTCGCAGAGAATTCTCGCGCAGCCCCGCTGGGCTCCAGACCCCGGCACAGACGCGCTGGCTCCCAGCTCCTTCTGGCTCCTAAGGCCTTGGGAGGCGCTCGCATTCCTCCGCAGATCTGCTCCTTCCTCCTTCCTCCTCCTCCTCCTGGGCCACTGGGTTTTCAAGCATCCAGAAAATCCAAGAGGGGCAAGAAGGAAAGCGGCGGCCTCCTGAATCCAGTCCAAGGGTGGACGCATCCGGCCTCACAAGGGGCCAGGCGCGGAAAACAAGGACCGCGGCTTCCACAACAGACCCCCGGAGCCGTCCACCCGGGGCCGGCCAGGTCCCCCGGGCTCCAGCTCCCTCTCCCTCGCTGCCCCCGCGACCCCCAAGGGGTCAGCCCCCCAGCCTAGCGACGGAGCGGGGCGCGACGAGGTGCCCGGGCAGTTTCTGGCCACTTCGCAGAGTGGCCTCTTCTTTTGTCTGCCTGATTCCTCGGCAGCTTCTGAGCCTGCAGCTGACCCTTCTCCGAGTCCAGAAGCCCCTCTCCCGAGGCTGCCCCCCGCGGGAGGCGCCCGGACCCCCGCCCCCACCCTTCGCGCGCGCGCACGCACAACTCCACGCGAGTTCGCAGGGCGAGCCGCGGCGAGCAGAGGGTGCGCGGGGCCGTCGGTCGGGGCGTCCGGTCGGTGGGCGCCCGGCTGCGCCCCCGGCCCGGCTCCTTCCCCGGCACTCGCAGTCCCGGAGCGCCGCCCGCGAGGAGCCAGCTTCAAAACAAAACCGAAAAAACGCGATTCCGGGAGGCGGCGTCCCGGAGAGGGAGGGAAGAGCGAGGGGGACGGGGCGGAGGGAGGAGGGAGAGGGACGCGGGCCGGGGAACTGGGCAAACTCCAGGGCCCTTCCGTGCGTCCGCGCTGGGCAGGACGGCCCGGCTCCGCCTCCCCGGGCCTGGGCGCCGCGCGCGGGGTGCGGGGGACGCGGGCGCTCGGGGGTCCCCAGGGGCTGGAGCTCGGCGCGGGGGACCTCCCCGCCGCCGCTGCCTCGCCTCCCGGGCTCCGGGCCCCGCCGGCCTTTTCCGGGACGCACCGGGACGCAAACTTTGCAAAGGAGGCGAGTTTGCAAAGTGCACGCGTGCGGGGAGCGCGCCAGGGCCGGAGCCGGGCCCGGGAGGAGGGTGGGTGCGTGGACCCGGTCGCCCCCGCGCCCCCGGCGGGATGAGGCGGTGCGCGGCAGCCCGCGATCGTCCCTCCTCGGCCTCCCTGCTCTGGGGCTGCCTCCCTCCCGGGAAGGAAACCCTGGTCCTGCGGTAGCCCAGGGAACAAGCACGGGCAGAGCCTGTTCTGAGTTGCTCGGAGCCGCGGCGGCTGGGACTGGAGATTCTGTGCCAGTCGCAGCAGCGCGGAGAGCGGGGTGGGCTGCAGAGAGGCGGGGGCCCTTGGTCAGCCCATCCGGAACAGTGTGGGCTCGGACTCGGTCGGGCACGGTGCTGGCTGGGCCCTGGGGATGGCAGCGCTTGGCTCCCGGCTCTGGAGGGGTCACTGTCCACCCCCTAGTCCTTAATCCATCCATTCTGTCTCCTTCGCCCCTGCGCGCGCGAGGAAACAGGAACTGAATCCCAAACTCAGCCCCCAGCCCCCTGGGCTACAAAGAGGGGTGACATTGTCCTTAGCTTACAGTCACAAGTCTGTCGGAGCCAGCCGGTAAATGCCCCCTCTGCAGAACCATCGAGGGTGGAGGCCTGGCAGGAAGATGGCACCTCTTCCAGCCAGGGGGTCATAAGAATCAAAGACTTCCTCGGGGAGGAGGTGCCTGGGATGAGGCACAGGCTTCAGGCCCCACCGCCCTTCTTGGCTTTGCCCTGGAGGGTTTTTTTTAGTCCCCTCTCACTAGCTCCTCCTTCCCCTTCACTCCACTCCCACGGCAGTGAACCTGGCAGATTCACCCACACAAGTGAAGGTCCTACCGCAAAAGGTGAGCCCTTGAGCGGTTCCTCAGGTTTCGTTTCAGTCTCTGGCTCTGTGACCCAGTTTCAGTGGTGTGATGAATGGGTCCAGCATCCTCTGCACAGCTGGCATTTGACCCGCATAAGGGGTCGCAGACAAACCCCAGATCCCTCTCTGTTACATAGATATCTGCATGCATGCTAATCAAAGTACTGATTTGCGTGCAGATCTGTAACTGTCCTGAAGTTTTGCATGAGTGGGTCAAAGCAGTTTCAGGTGCTCTTCAGATGCCAAGCTGATGGCAGGTTTTAGTCCAGTGAACCTTTACCCTAGTTGAGAAAGAGGTAATGGTATGGCATTGCCACTCAGCCAAGAAACCTTGAGAGCTTGTCCCTGGCCTTGACTTGAACAAGTCAGTTCAAACTAATATCTGCTTGACCAGACTCTGAATCTCGGAATGTTTCCCCAGTTTTCGCTTCTGTTTTTTGTTTTGTTTTGGTTGGTTGGTTGGTTTTTTTTTTCTGCTTTTTGGGTCACACCAGGCAATACACAATTCCTGACTTTGCACTCAGGAATTACTCCTGGTGGTGCTGGGAATTGAACCCGAGTTGGCGCATGCAAACCAAACGCCCTACCTGCTCTATTATCACTCCAGCCTTCTTCTTTTTTTTCTTTCTTTTTCCCATGCTGGGGATCACCCCCAGTTTTTTTCCTTTTTTTTTTTTTGGAGTGGGGAGCACACCTGGTGATGCACAGGGTTCACTCCTGCCTCTGCACTCAGGAATTACTCCTGGCAGGGTTTGAGAGACCATATGGAATGCCAAGGATCGAACCCGGGTCAGCCACATGCAAAGCAAGTGCCCTACCTGCTGAACTATTTCTCCAGGCCCCCAACCCTCAGCTCCTTTGGAATTCTGCTTTTCTGTGATTTCTCTTCTGTTCACATAGCCTCTCTCTAGCTGCTTTGACAATAGCCAACTACCTCCTGGTGTGTGCTGAGTGCTTAGTACTTGCTGGGTGCTAGTAACTGTTGTAAATATTTTACCTTCTTGGGCCAGAGAGAGTATAGAGGTATAGGCCCTTGTTTGCATTTACAAACCAGCCATCTTGGATTTGCTCCCCTATCTAGAGACGCTTCTGGTTCTCAGAGCTGATCCTTATTTTTAGGTTCTTCAGCTGCACAGAGATTCCCAGAGTCTGTCCCTTCCCGGACCTCCTCAGACCTAGTGGGAACAGACCCGGGTTGCTATCCTACGAGACGAGACGGCAGCACCCTCTGTGGTTCGCCTGCTACCTGCCACTTCCCTGGGGAAAGGCAGCCTTTCTTCAACGATTCCCACTGGACAGCGAGGATATTATTTTCCTAACTGGACTGTGTTCTCTTTGTTGCTCGAGCACTGACCCGTGCATAAGAGGAAAAATTCCCTCACCTCCACACCTTCAAGCAGGCATCCAACTTTCCTCCTTTAGGAAAGAAATCATGGGTCGGAGTAATAAGACAGTGGGAAGGGCATTTGCCTTGCACAGGGCCGATCCGGGTTAGATCCCCGCCATCCTATGTGGTCCTCTGAGCACCGCCAGGAATGATTCCTCAGTGCAGAGCCAGGAGTAACCCCTGAGCATCGCCGGGTGTGACCCAAAAAGCCCAACGAAAAGAAATCAGAGTGCTGGAGCAGTAGGACAGCAGGTAGGGCATTTGCCTCGTATAAGGCTGACTTGGTTTCGATCCCTGGTACTGCATATGGTCCCCCAATCCCTGCCAGGAAAGATCCCTGAATGCAGAGCCAGGTACAAGCCCTGAGCACAACTGGGCATGCCCCCCACACATACCAAAAAAAAAAAAAAGACAAAAGAAATCAGGGGCCAGAAAATTCAAAGGACTGATGCATGCTTTAGAGACTGGAGACTCAGTTTTGGAGCACTGCAAGGAGAGAGCCCTGAGCACCCAGAGGCGATGGCTCCCTAACACTGGGTGGTATGACCCCAATACAAGAAAAAAAATGTAGCTATTAAGGGAGAATAGAACTGGAACCTGTGGTTTGCAGGCTGACCCCTGATCGCGGAAGACAGCTTACGCTTATGGCAGTGATGGAAGACAAGATGACAAGGGACTGAGGCAGGCACTGGGGAGAACCCCGTCTGAGGGCTCAGGAAGGGAGACTGGAACAGCAGCATGATGTGGTACATTTGAGGAAGCACTCAGACCCGGTCTGGTTTGACCTCTTCCCCCTTCCCTTGCTGTGTCAGTGACTGGAGTTGCAGACAGTGCACATGTGCTCTAGGTAACAACACGCACCAGGATGGCACATCCAGTACTGCGCTTCTGCATTCTCAGTTGAGATCACACACCCCTGATTTCAGTGTACCTGACTGCCTGGATCCCTTGACCCCCGCAACCCACATCTTTAAAACAGGGGTCGGGGCTGGAGCGATAGCACAGCAAGTAGGGCGTTTGCCTTGCACGCGGCCGACCCGGGTTCGATCCCCGGCATCCCATATGGTCCCCTGAGCACCACCAGGAGTAATCCCTGAGTGCAGAGCCAGGAGTAACCCCTGTGCATAGCCGGGTGTGACCCAAAAGGCCAAAAAAATAAAAAATAAAATAAAATGAAACAGGGGTCAATGTGATAGCACAAAAGGTAGGGAGTTTTCCTTGAACATGGCCAACCTGGGTTCGATCCCCGGCATCCCTATGGGAGAATTAGAACTGAAACCTGTGGTTTGTGGGCTGACCCCTGATCGCGGAAGACAGCTTTCTCTTATGGCAGTGATGGGAGACAAGATGACAAGGGACCAAGGCAGGCACCATGTACTGCCGGGGGTGATTCCTGAGCGCAGAGCCGGGAGTCAGGCCTGAGCACCACCAGGTGTTTTGTGACTCAAAAAGAAAACTATTGATTCCATATCCCTTAAATGATGATCTAGGCTCTCTCCTGCCATAGGTTTTCCCATCTCTCTTCCTCCTCTTCTCTTTTTTTTTTTAAATTTTTTGGTTGCTAGGTGGTCATAGGTTAGTCCTGGCTGAATGATCAGGATCACTCTGGTGGTACTCCGGGGACCACACAGTACTAAAGATCAAACCTGGGTCTCCTGAGCACAAAACATCTGCTCCTAGGGCTGGAGGAAAAATACAGCGGGTAGGGCTTATTGCCTTGCGTGAAGCTGACCCTGGTTCAATCCCCAGCATCCCAGATGGTGCCTGACCACCGCCAGGAGTAATTCCTTAGTGCATGAGCCAGGAGTAACCCCTGAGCATCCCTGGGTGTGACCCAGGAAGCCAGACCATCTGCTTTGGCTCACTGAATGTCACCCTAACTCCCTTTCTCTCTTGTTTTGTTTCATTGTGTCTTGCTTTGTTTGGTTTGATCACACCCAGGGTACTCAGGGGCTACTCCCGGCTTGTTGCTCACGGGCCTCTCCTGGCAGTGCTCAGGGAAACTTTCATAAGTTTGGGGGTGCT